TTTAATGAGTTTGATGTAACAAAAGCATTGATGTGATTAATGCCACATTTGTGGCTCTGTGTAAGACCAAAAGGATTAACCTGTAGGAAGACTGTATAAACTTAGATTATATATCTGCAGGAGTGCCAGTGAGACACTCTTTGTTATTCTACAGCACTATCAGCATCATGCATAATGAACAATACTGTGATAGACTGAATGAGATCTCCAATGAGTTTAAAAGCAGCAGTAGCTTTTAATTTTGACCATATGTTAACCTAGTTCAGTGTCAACAAACATGGTTATTTAGTCTATAGTCATCTTTAATCATTTTAGCAAGAATAATGATTTAGGGCAGATTTTGTGGCTGCCAAGCTATCTGTGTACCAGTACTTGCAGATCTAAGTCTAGGAGGAAATGTATTATAATGCAATGGTATGCTGATGGATTATTTGTTAAAGTCTGTAGTGGTGCATTAATACAATAGCACTAAACTGAGAAAAGAGTGGCAAGTTACGTAAGAAACTACGTAGCGAACATGAGAACCATGTGAAATTACATTGCCCAACTGTTTCACTGTTACATGTTTTGGAAATACATGTAGTTGGTAGCTCACATGTTCTCCAACATCAAAACACACACGTATTTAAGGACAGTACGTATCAGCTGACTTGCCTTGTTTTTTCCAATGTGCTGTGCAGTTACGTGAAACCCGTCAAACCTGTTTGGTGTGGTATTTTCTGTTTTTCGTGCCATCAGTGGACCATTCAAAGCTTTTTTCACGAGGATTAACAAATGACGAGAATACAAGTCACACTTAAAGAACTCACCATGTTTCCTTTCTTTTTTCTGTTTTTTTAAATACTCCTGATGTTTCTGCCTTTGTAGGTGGAGCAGGTGAGTCAACTGTCGTCTTTTGTGGAGTCTCTGCTGCAGTATCACAGACAGGCCACACAGATCATGGAGGAGCTTTCTGACAAACTGAGAGAAAGGTCAGCACCAGACTATTTTTGGAAAGTGGCATGCCTTTTGTATGTTGAGGCTTCGTCCTCTGGCTCATGACAGGATGATTCAGCCGTATCTTTTGTCCATCTGATTACATCCAATGAATACCAAGCTGCAAAATATGTTTTGTTTTTTTGTTTTTCTGTTAGAGAAACAAAATATCAGCTTAGTTTACAACTTTAGATCATTTTGTTTTCTTTTAATAAAATGTGTCTAGTTTTTGTGATTGGATTAAAGCCCAAAATAAGATCAGCTAACTCTTTGTTAGCATGTCTGTATTTGTATTGGCACATCCTCTACTTGTGAACTCAAAGAGGTAATGGTTTGTGATTCTGATTGTTTGCAGGGTAAATGATGCTCAGTCTCGCCCAAGACAAGAGTACACACCTAAACCCAAACCAGCCTTTGATTTTGGAGAAGTAGAACACTCAAACGGAGGATACTCTTCATCTGCTTCAAGCCCTCCAGCTTACTCTTCTGGTACACTTCTTTCTTTCTGTTTTTTCCCTCTTCATATTGTGTGTGTGCGTGCGTGCGCGTGCGTGCATGCATGCGCGTGTGTGCGTGCGTCTCATTCATATGACTGATGTGTCTTTCCTTCTGCAACATTAAGCAAACACAGCACAGTATCAAGGGCCATCCTTCCAAAGACCGTCCATCAAGAACAGACGGCGTGAGTGGACAGAGGAAGAAAATGTGTCACTTGCACTGAACTATAACTACTACTACTACTCAGCCTGTTGCACATCTTTGTAGCAGAAAAGTTTATGCATTAGTGTGAAGTGTCTCACTAGCTTTGCTACACTATGATTGGTGGGTCAATTAATAACCAAGGCTGCAGATACATTCATTCATTGGCAAACAAAAACACATCTTAAATAACCATTGATTATGGTATTATGTATGAAGTTGTATGTATCTGACAGCTTAGTGCACTGATGACTGAATCTTCTGAATCTCAAGAAAAAAAACAATCGTGATATACCCAAATATTTAATTTGCAGTTTAAAGTCTGAATCAATTCTCAGACAAAAGAGAAGAAAATAATGGGGAAAATATGTAGCCTGATTTGTACTCCTGCGTTGATTTCTTGAGGTTCAGAAGGATTCTCCTTAAGCACACTGGTGACTAACTTAAAAGTCTTTATGTTTCCTGTTTTTATGACTTGGACTTGATGGCTACAGAGTGGACTGGAAAACATTGGTGTTAAATTCCCTATAATGAAAACCTTTCAAAGGAGAATATACTAACCTCGTTGAAGGGAAATTGTTTCCATGGAATAACTGTATTTGTTTTGTTTTTCTCCCTTTCTCCATCTCTGTGCCTCTGTCTCTTTCTTCAGCTGAGCCTTGCTGTAAGGCCATGTATGACTTTGAGCCAGAGAATGACGGAGAGCTGGGCTTCCAGGAGGGTGACATCATTAAATTGGTCTCTCAAATCGATGAGAACTGGTATGAAGGAAGCCTCCGTGGAAAATCAGGATACTTCCCCACCAACTATGTTGAAGTGATGGTCCCTCTGCCACACTGAAAACAGCAGGGGTTAAGATTATGAAAAGTGGAGGATAAAGGATTACCAGATCTCTTAATAACAAAGATTATATAAAGAGTAAATATCAAGACAATGATATTTCTTATATCTCAAGGTTAAAGAGTACACACAGATTTGTCAAAACATCAAGGGCAGAGGAATGTTCGATGAGCCAAATTATATCGTAATATTTGGGTGCTTCTGTCATATCCTGAGTTTTATAGCCATTCTCTATGCACCTGTGCACTTTTTACACTACACCTCTATCACCAGGACGGATTAAGAAATGCTGAGAGAGAATGGTGTTTGGGGAAGAAATGGTCTACAAACTCTTAAGTGCAACTACTTTATTTTTCTTATCCTGTTTTTATACTCAGAATATTACGTTTCGTTCTATGCATTGTTCATATTGGTACTACACACATGCATGCGTTCCTCTAAACACTATTCATACACTCCCATTTTTAATCTCTGTACCTTAAGGCCTTAGTACTGTGTGTCAACATGGAGGACTGGCTTCCCTTTATCAATGTTTAGTCTCTGCCGCCCTCTAGTGGTCACAGAGTTTCTTCTTAGCTCCTTATTCAGCAACACTATTATGTGATGTTTGTTGGATGTTTCTTACCAAATCTATGTTGGGTAGTTTGTCCTAAGTTTTAGTTTGCAGATGTTGAAACAGCGTGAGTGAGTCAATAGATGTTGTTTTTCTAAACATTGGTAGTTTTAGCATTAACAAAAAGAATTCCAGTTAAACTCTAAAAATTACAATTTAACATTATTTATGTAACGCAGGTTATCAAGTTATCGGTGAATTCATTTACTTACAACCTAGATCATACTGCCCTCATTTTATTAAACATGGATGCCAAAGAATTTTTTTTTTTTTAATTTTCCAAAATGCAAAGGGCTGTTAGTGTGCACAATTGTGTTGATATTTCAGATGATTACATGCAGCATCCCACCGTTCATGTTGTGCAACGTTACACCAAAGCCAAAACCATGTTCTTTTAGTTCCTGTTTTCTCAGGCTCTATTGATACTGCTGGCAGTGTCACTCATAATGTTCTGTGGGATTTTTTTTTTTTTTAAATTCAGCTGTTTGTTTCATGAACTTTCTGTCACTGGTGCATTTTCCACATCAGTGCTCGGGTGAGCTTGGCCTTATTATTCTAACCTCCAATTTGATGCGTGGAATTTAATCTGATGTGTGTTTGGTGTTTTTTGTACCTGCCTCAGTTTTTAGGCCGAAACTGCATCAGACCTGATGGGGGTTACTATCTTCCAGTGACTGTGTACTGAATTTACAAATAATAAGGAAGGACCTTTGCACAATGGCTGGTTTCAGTTCCAATTAAGCCTATTACAAGCAAACTATGAACTGTCATGGTCTGTGCTGTTCACTAGAATGCCAACTTTCTCCTCTTGTCATGATCCCCTTGTTAGACCGCCCCCTGCCCCACTCATCTCTCCCATCTCCATTTAAACTGAGAGTGGAACAGACAGGTCTTTTCAGCAGGCAAGGGCACACAGCACTGGATTATGCCCTCCCCCACTATGCGTTATTCACCACCTGCCCCTGTGCCCCTACCCCCTTTCTCATTATCTACCCCATCCCAAGCCCACGGTGCCTCTGAGGCTCAGTCTCCCAGTCCATAATACCATCATTCCTATCACAGTAGATACCTCTTAATGTTTTGCTTGCATCTGTGCTCTGTTATTAGTGGTATGCATTGCACCGGGGGTTTGGCATAGCAGACTAATAACTGTGGTTCAGGTGTGGGTTTACATGCCTCATTACACATAATCAAAAGCCCCCTTCCCAAGTTTAGGAGAGGAGGAGGGTCAGGGGCTCAGGTTGAGCTGTTCTGTAGCTTGTAATAATATTCATGAAGAACAAAGGGCTAAGATCAGCTTTTGTCAGCTGCTGCTCTTACTGTGGAAATAAAGCTTTTATTTCTTTTTCCCCCATCATGCATGCTTTTGAATTTTCTGTGAAAGTAGCCTAACTTTTTGTATGTTTTTTTTTTCATTCTAGCTTTTGCCATATGCAATGCCTCATTTTTTGTAACTGTGACACAATAGGGAGAAATGTTGAGACTAAAAGTGGGATTATCCTGGATTATCTTTAGGATGTATGAATTACCTCTATGCTAAATGTAATCTTGTGTATTGTATAATTAATGCGGTGTATGAATGAATGCTGTCCATTTGCTTCTTTAAATAAATGTTAAGTAATTTGTCCCGTGTGTCTGTGTAAAACTAAACTGCTACAGTTTTTGTTTTGATTTTTTTTTTTTTTTTTTCGTTGATTATCACACAATACATATTTTGACGTTTCGACAAATGCTCTTTTTTTCTTGCTCAGTAAACATCTCAATACTTGGGACTTCATCCCCCAGTCATCCTATTTTTAATCTCTATAACCACCCGTCTGCATGATCCCCAGACACAGCAGGCTGCATCAGCCAGCTGTTGGATTATTGCCACGGCACTATCTCATCGGGGAAGGCGTGTCAGTCCCCGAATTACTCAGCGCCCCTTTGTCCTCGTTCGGTGGCCAGCCAGCGACACTCATGGCGGCTGCACCCGTCAGGCAGCGCTCCGGACCAGGGGGGCAGCGGGCACAGCTCCCGCCCTGTTACTACGAAGGGTACCTGGAGAAGCGAGGACCGAAAGAAAAGGTAGGCTCACCCGGTGCACATAAATTGCCGTATTTTGGTTTCGGCGCGTCCTGTAGATGCTGGAAGTCGGGGTCGGTGTGTATGTGTGTGTATGGACCGCACACCGGCTGAGCCACCATTCCCAGAGAGCTGTCAACTTCCTTATTGTGCGAGAGTGGGTGAGGCGAAACTGCACTGCTGCTGCTGGCGGGGATTTATTTAATTCACACAGCGGTGAAGCATATTGGAGGCAAAGCATGCAACGATGTAGCATCTAATCACAGCGTCTGAATGACAGAAATCACGACTGCTGTCAAACATTACATGTTATTTCGGTTGCCACATGAACCGAACAGGGCTGTATTTTGTTGATAACGGGGCATCTGATTGTCACAAACGGTACCCCAGCCAAGTGTTTCCACTCAGAATCCATTAGCTGACTCACAGACACTCAATCTTTTGAATTATTGATCCGCCAGTCTGATCTCTGAAATACATATCCTAGATTTCAAATAAAGTTACACAGAGAAATTGGCAGTTTTGCCCAAGGATACTTTCACGTATTAGCTTTATTTATAGGGAAGACGATAAAGAAGACACTCCCCAGGTGTCCTACCCCTCTCTGATTAGGCTCCTTTTTAATGCAATGTGGACATGTAATGTGAGCATGGCTCAGGTGCAGGGTGTCGCAGTGATCCATGGCCACAGACTGACAGCAGCTGAGGCTCACTCACTACAGCCATCTCCAGGGACAGGAAATGTGGGGGTGATAAAAAGAAAATATCCATTACACTGACAGGGAAGACAGCACTGGCCCTTTTTGGTTTAACATTTTTAGTTCAGGTCTGTGTGTCCATCTGTATGTGACAGGCATCCAGGCGGCTGTGGACGTGCCTGTGTGGGAATTCTTTGTATTTCTTCAACAACGCCAAGGACACTCATGTAAGTTCCAGATTATATAGCATCTTGTGTGTCTTTTTTCATATAATAGTGTGCTGGCACTAAAATATAATTATGTGTGCAACAGTATGTGGAGAAGCTGGACCTCAGCGGCTTTGTGTCCCTGAAGGACGACTGCAGCCGGGACAGAAACCTAGAGGCAGCTAGGCTCATCCTCCAAATGAAGGATGGAGAGACCAAACTCACAGTAAGCCACTTGGCTCACACACTCAGACGCAAAGATGCTAAAATTAACAAATCTTTGCTGAGACAGGAAATGCTGCTGCTGTCTTTTCCAGGCACCAAACTTGGAATCACGGGAGCTGTGGAAAGGATTCCTCTACTCTGTTATAGATGTAGGTGTTAATCTTTTACACAGCTGCTGTCCCTGCGTCCCTGTACCAGCCTGCCTCTCATATGTTTTTCCTGTCTAATTACAGCTGAATGTACCATCCTATCTCACACTGCTGCCTGGGCAGCTACAAATGCTACAGGAGGTGGTGGACAAAGAAAGAGCCAGGCGGAGAAGTCGCAATCCTGCACGAGCTCCTCCTTCGCCTCTCTCCGTTCCTTTAGTAGGAGAGATCCCACCGTGAGCGCTCCTCTGTGCTACATAGAGAAGATGCACTGCAGCTAAAGTGGCTTTGGCATATCACCACATTACCTGTAATACTGTGTGTTTCATCTGCAGATGTTTTCGGCCCGTGTCCCGGACGGAGGCTGAAGTCCTTTTAGAGAGACACCCAGACTGTGGCAACATGTTGCTTCGTCCAGGCAGAGACGGATGCTCGTTGGCCGTTACTACTCGACAGGATCTCAATGGGTAAACACATTCTGAATATCTGAATACCGCAGTTACAAAATCACAAACACCAAAGGTTATCTAGAATATCATTACATGCTGTCTTTTTCTTTTTTGTGGCTCCAGGTCAGTTTTCAGACATTACAGAGTCACACAGAGGGACCAAGGTGGTTATGTCATTGATGTTGAAAATCCTGTAAGTGCAAAAGTGTCATCAGTTACAGTTTTACAACATTTCATAGGAGGAATGTAAAACATGTTAGTATAACTGACCTACTTTCAGATTCATGAGTATTAGGAAAAGGAGAAGAGGTTTAATGTTTCTAGTGTACACCACAGTGGATCAGGAATGGTGTGATTAACGTAAACACAAGGAAAAGGAAGGATTTTAACAATTATTGCATCAGCCATTTAGAAACTACAGCATTTTCACAGGCTCAAGAGTAATTACACATTGTGGACATGGGTGCCTTTTTTCATTTAGGAGATACAAGACTTCTACCACAAGTAAAAGTGGTAACAAAACAGTGATTTTTAAATCTTATTTTGGTGTTAAGTCAGCACATTTTTAAAATGTTTATCAGATTTGACTGCTGATTCTTTTATATCTCAGTGACCATCAAGGTTAGGTCAGATGACACATATAAATAACTGCCACAAGTGTCATCACTATGGCTTTCAAATGGCGAAACCTGCTTCTAAAAATACTTTTATTCTCCAGCTCAGCAACACTAAAAGATGTTAAAGACTATAACAGACAAGTAAAGTGGATGATTGTGGAATTAACTGATTAAAAACCCCTTCACACCATCTAGCCAGTCAAGAGCACTCGAGGAGGCACTGTAAGTGTATCATTGTCAAAGCCTGCAATCAAGAGACGCCTTCACGAATGTGCAGACGGTTTACAGCAAGACACAAAAACCACTGTTTACGTTTAAGAACAATAAGATCAGATTAGACTTTGCTTGGAAACAGAAAGCAATATATTATTGTGGAATAAGATTCTTTGCTAAAATTAAACCAAGATGAACTTTTATCTCAAGAACAGGAAGAGTGGGCAGAAGGAAAATAACAGCACACGATCCAAAGTAGATCACATCGGCTGTATAATACACCAGAATTAGCGTTATAGCATGTGCATGCATGGCTGCCAGTGGAACAAAGTCCACCAGTGTTTACTGATAATATGACTGCTCATAGAAGTAAGTGGGTAAACTTTGAAATAGATGTATACATTTTGAGTAAAAAAAGGTACAGTTTGAAAAGGTTATAGCAAAAGTAACCCAGGAGCTTGATAAGCCAGAGAAGTGAAATGAAAGTGGTTGAGTGAGTCTCAGGATCTCCGTTCAAATGAGCATGCTTTTCACCTGTGCAAGGAAAGAAAACCCCAGAAATCCACTAACAAGCAGCAACCAAAAGCAGCTGCACATAAGGGCCTGGCAGAGCATCACAGAGAAGGAACCACATTGTTTGGTGATATCGATTAGTTCCAGACAACAGAGAATCCTTGTATGCAAAGGATTGCATTCAAGCACTGAAAATAATCCCTCTGAAAACAATGTTTCAGCCTTTATATAAAAAATGGATGTAATTTCTATATGGGAAAATGCTATTTATTTTTATTAAATCTCTTGAATCAAAGTTAAGAATCAAATAGTTTATTTGCATCATTTCAAATCGATCGTGTTGGTGCACAGAGCCAAAATTCAGCTCATAGACCTTACTGTTATAGGTTCAGAGTTTTAACATTACGTCATGGCTGTGTTTTTATTGAAGAAATGTGTGTTGTTGTTTGTTTATTTTTGCAAACATCAAACCGCTTAAATCCAACTGATCAGACTGAGGCATGAGATTATCAAAAACACGGGTCTCAGTTCACCTCTTTTATTGTGAATCAGTCCCATCACAGCTACTTAACCATGATGCCAAGAGTTTGTATGCAAGATGTCAGATACAAACTTGATGTTTCAGATCTCTTCAGAGCTGTTATTTTCTCTGTACTGACAGCTGGTCAAAATCAAATATAGCTCTGTCCTCACATTAATCTTTTAAAGCTTATTGAGTTTTCAAGTTTTGAGGATTTTTGTGGATATTTTGGCACACAGAAGGCCTTAAAAACATTATTTGAAAATAGAACTGTAAGACATAAATTATAAATTTGAGTAGAGAGATTGAATAAAGCAGGAGAATCAGGGCTATACTTCATATTAACAATTATATGTCCTCATTTGTGCTTCTTGTATGTGGAGTCTCCAAGGCTCAATCTTTGGACCGGTTTTTGTTTGTTTATATGCAGTACCCCTCGGTCTTCTGCTTAACAGCTACTTTGCTATGCTGATGATACACTGCTATACTTTTCTGTTAGGCCCAACAACCTCAGGGCCCTCTCCTACCTCAGCAAATGCTTCACTGCCATTAATAATTGCGTGTATTTACATTTTCTCCATCTCAACACTGGTAAAACTGAGGCTCTTGTGTTCAGCCCTGACAACTTCTCTAGGGAGGCCAGCCAATTACATTGTTCCCCATCTCCACCAATATCAGATCTTCTAAAAACCTTGGTATTATTTTTGACCTGCAACTGAAATTTGAAATACACCTCCAAGGGAATCCAGACTTGATTCTTTCATTTAAAAAACGCTGCAAAAATCAGTCGCTGTCATTTCATAATTTACAACTTTAAGATTGCTATTAAAAAGTCACTGGCCCTGATGAGGCACCTCTATTCTTGCTGCTCTTCACTGGCTTCCAGTGATGTTCAGAATCCACTTTAAAATTCTACTGTTAACATATAAAGCTCTACATGCCAGGCTCTGCTTATTTAGCAGAGATACCGAGACCTTACAGCAGCTGTCAGCCTGTCCGTTTATCTGAACAGGTTCTTTTAACTGTTCCACGTTTTCACTTTTAAGCCTGAGGTGATATTGAGGTGCTTTTGAAGTTGGAGTGCCCAAACTTTAGAACAGCTTCCCTCAGCCTATCAGGTCGGGTGAATCTGTGGTTTGTTTTTAACAACTGCTGAAAACTAATTTTTTATAGATTAGCTTTCCCTTCATCTTTCTCCCATTATTTTTTTAGCCGTAGTTTAGATCTAATGAGTATATGGAGGTGAGTATGTCAATAACATATGATTGACTATTTGTCTGTATGCTAGATCATGTATACTTATTTTTAATGTAAAGCTGTTATCCAAACTATGAAACACACTGTAGCTGTGTGTTTTAAGTTAATGTTATTGTTTTTATTGTTATTATTATTATAACACAGAGGTATCTTCTTACAGATCCCCTGTGCCACTCTTCATGAGGTCATTGATGCACTAGTAGAGAAAACAGCAGGAACTCTTCAGCCTTTCCTACTCGAGGAGCCTTATGAGGAGAATATAAGTGAGGCATTACTAAACATTTCTCACCCACGTTTTTAAACAAATTCTTAATACTAATTTTGTTAAGTTTATGTCATCAGCATATGTTTCTGCCAATGATGAGAACGGAGAGAGGATCCTCCACACTGCCCCCTCAAGCCCCCTGCCTAGGGCCCCTGCCCTTCCTCCAAAACAAGGTTTGTGCCGGTCATATAAACCATGTGCAATGAGAGGCAGAGAGCATATCATGATCACTGCTCTCATTCTGGTGCAGATCGTTGGTCCTCCAGCAGTCCCCTGTCCAGGTCCCCCGCCCCAGACCGTCGCATTCTGACCTCACCAGTCCCGGCCTCGCCCAGCAACCCGATGAGACGACTGATCCTCTCCCCTTCACCTCTCACACAGAGTGAGTACAAGATGTGCTGATTTCATTTGCGGCAGTTTATCTGCAGTCCTTTAATCCCAAATTGTTTATCCCTGGTTGTCCACAGCGCTCAATGAGGAGCTCAAAATGAAGCTGGAGAAGAGACGAGCGAGTCAGGAATGACTTTTACTCATTGGGAGGGACTCCCTGTCACAGCATACTCAATCTTCGGTGCCAAACCTACTCTCACTGCAGCTACGTGCTCATCCTGTGCCTTCAATGTGGAAGACAAGGGACTACAGAACCACTACTTTCTCTTGGGGAACCTTAAAACTGTGTTTGTTTGTTTCAGTATTTATGTTGTTAGATTTGACATGAGTTAACTGACTCTGGCTAGCTCCCTAAGAGCAAGACCGACTGGTTATCACCGATTACATTCATGCAATCTCTCAAAATGCTGCCCGCCCTGTTTGGCTGATGACCCACTTGCGCGTTGTCCAGTTGCATAATATTGTTTACAAGCTGCCTCCAAGCAAAAATACAGTCCACAAGAACTATGAATCACTCACAGAAGGACTGACACATATCGGACCTCCAGTTGAGCCTCATGTTTTCCTGTTTGAGCCAAAAAACAAACAAATAAATGAAAAAAATACTGGGTGCTAAACTGCTGCTACAACACTGGAAACCACTTAAAAAACAACATGTAGACTGCCATGATCAACTCCAAAGCAACAAACTCTGACATGAGACAAATCCAGGCATGCTCAGCTACTTGAGTTTCCTCATTCACATCACTACATGTAGCATGACTGGAATAATAACAATACAACTTAGCTGCACACTCTCTGCCTGCCTGCTCCGAGTCCTACATCTGACTGATAAGCAACCATTAACACTGCTGTTGATACAATGTAGCTCATTTACAGCTCAACTTTAACTGTTTTGTGTGTGTTTCCTTATTCTCTTCTCTTGTGTACGTGCTATTGTATGGTGCTATGATTGACCAGACCTGCCTGGAAACCACAGACTGTATGTAACTAGATGATTTCTGTTCCTCTGTAAGAAAAAGGGAAAAAGAAAAAAAAAAAATCAGTCTACTGTAGTCATAAGTGAGGGCGCCCTCTTGTGGTACGTCTGTCCCATGACACTGAGCACAATCACTTACAATAGGTCAACCCCTTTACTTTGCAGAGAAAACCTGAAACTTTTGTTATAGTTTTTTTTTTCCAGCTGCACTACAGTTAACTGATTACAGGTCTGAAGGTGCTCAAACAACGACAAGTAACTCTACGTGTAAAAAACGTTTACAGATCAGTGTCAAATGACTCTTAAATGTCTTGCAGTGAACAGTTTCTTGTATGTTGGTACATGATTGTCTCGTCTACTTTATTATCAAAGGTAGTTGGATATCTGAAGAATTAAATGTGTTTTTGCATGGATCCGTTGTGAGTTAAGACCTCTTGTTATCGAGATAACAGTGGAATTTATCAATACTATAAGTTGATGATTAGAAAGACTATTATTGCCCTGTTTTTCCTTTAAAAAAATATTTTAGGTTAAAAGTTAAGGCATTAACATGGGGATTATTGCGATTTTAGTCCTTCCACAATCTCGACAACTATCAGAAATAAATGTTAATATGTAATCGACAGTTTCTACACATTTAAACGGTTAGAAATGTCTTGCTAGAAATACAGCTAGACATTTGGTTTCAATTGGAAGCAAGGAGAATATTTTTTAAAGTTTGAGGTTTTGCTAAGTTAGAAGAAAAATCATTCTATTTACCTTGTCAAACATGCTTCTTTGTTTAATAACAAAGTGGCTAACCCTCTATCCCCCCTTTCTCTACAACCTCTCTCTTGATTTGTGGCGTCTCAATAAAATGTAACTATAAGATCATAACAAATATGCATCAGTTCTCTGCGGTTTTCATATTTCTGTGCATGTGCAGGATTATTAGAGTGCTAGAATATTGCACATGCAGGGAGATGATGGTGGCATTAATGTAAATACATCGTTTCCATCGTGGAGGGCAGATAACAACACGCCGCCCTGCTATGTTGCATTGCTTCATCACTCCTGTTTGGACACGCTGCCAGGTGTTTTTACAGTTTACCTGATCCGCCCAGCTGGAGTCAGCTGTGCCCTCTACAGACAGTAGTAGTACTATAACGAACATTTAATCAGACCGGAGGTCAGCGCCTTCCGCCACACTCTGAAGGGGTGTGGGGGACTAGTTAAAAAAAAAAACCCTGCGCGGCTGTCCGGAGTAGGAGCCCCGGCCATTCAGATCCTTTCACCGACCGCGGGATATTACCGCTGAGAGAGGCTGTGGACAGAAACGAATCACCGCTGTGTCTTTAGAAACACTCCCTGGAGGCTGACGGGCTGCTGAGCCGTTGCTTGAGCGCCTTTCCTTTTTAATTTTTTTTGCGGTCGCTGATTTTTAGACGCGAGCTTGCAGATAATAAACCTCAGTGAAGCTGCTGGCTACGGCCAACGTCTGACACCTCTGGGGTACGTTAGACGTTAGTCTCAGTTGTTCACACTTTTATTGAGTGTTTGCTAAAGGTATGTGGGAGTTTTTGATTTTGCCTTGTTTGTTTGTTTTTGTTTTTTAAACTATGAAACTGTCCGTGAAGCGGTGGTGAAATATGTCGTAAACAGGTGCTGGGACTATTTTTTTTCTTAGAGGAAACCTTGGGGTGTGTCCGTGCGCAGGTAAGAGATTAACTTGTGATTCGAGTGTTTGCTCACTCTTAGCTAACCTGCAAGAGCTACTTTATTAACAGCTTCAGGGGGAATTTCACGTTAAAGCTTCACTACACGGGGTAACGTACTTTATTACTATTATTATAACTAATTTAGCGTACTGTTAAATTCTCATTTATTTTATGGATTTTTGTTTCCACATTGATTTTCACACACTTATCGGGTTTGTTCTACTGTTCACATTCAGTTGAACGTAAACATGAGAGGCACTGTGCTGTGAGTGTGTGCGCATGTGCGTGTGAGTGTGCGCCTGCATGTGGGTGTAGAGTGAAGCTGGGATTGGCCCTCAAGGCTACATAATCTTATCGGGGTGCATTCTCTGACATGTTGTGGCTCATCAGGTAACACACACACACACACACCTCCATTACTTTAAATGTGATTACTGTGAGAGTAATGAAAACAGATGCTCTTTTTGTAACAACGACCTAATTAAAGGTTACCCTCAGTTTCCTGCTCTGTGCAGTGAAATCACTCTTGCATCTAACTAACTTGCAACCAACTTTGTGCAAGAGCTCGTCTCTAATCGAGCCCAGAATTTGGCACTCTGTGTGAATCTTTCATTGTTTCGGTGCTTGGTGCTGCAGGAGAGCTGAGGTTGACATCCCTGCACCCTGCTGAATGCTTTTCATGGCCCTGCATTAACATCACTATGGCACTGACAGAATTACTGCGGTGCTGACTTTAGCTCACTCTGTCCTTTCTGGCGATTCCTTTACTTTTTCTTTTCTTTCTTTCTTTTTTTTCCTTTTTTTTTTTGGCTAAGATTCTTACACTTTGTTTTGATGCACTTTAATGTTTACCCCTGTCAGCTATTGTCCTGGTGTTTTGCTGTACATCCATATACTTTTCCTTCTTTACTCATGAACAGTTTTTAATATCTTGTACACCCTTGTATTTTTCAGCCCCCATCGCCTTTGTGTCTTTGGTCCGTGCCATCCATCTCCTCATGGACAGCCTGCAGAGCGGGGCCAGTAAAGGGGCTGCTACCCTTCAAACACCACAGACCACGTCACGTCATAGATGCCACCCTGCCGCCTTTACCGCTCTATGACTGACTGTTGAGGAAACAATAAAGCCAAAAATCCTCTGAGCTTGAGCAAAAGGAGCCATGAATCTGCTGCTGTCCCTCACTGTCTTCTGCCTGCTGCCTCTGGCCTTGATGGCCAAGGAAAACTTACCACTGAACTGCATCCCCCGCAGATCTGTGCCTTATCACAGTAAGTGCTGCTCTTTTGTCTTGTGTAACTTGTAACTTGACTTACAGTGCGTCAGCTTGTGTTAGCTCATAATTTGGATTGACTCAAAAGGAAATGGGATTTAATCACTGGTGGTTGCCGAGTTAATCATTTGTCTGCTGTCTCTTTTTTTTCCTTTAGGGGACAATGCTTGTTTCTTTAGTGAGAATGATGTCTATAACTACTCCACCATGCTGTTGATAGAAGATAAAGGCGTGCTCATGCTTGGTGCTAGGGAAAAAGTGTACGCACTTGACCTCTATAACATCTCCCAGAAACGTGCTTCAGTAAGAACACCGTTTTTTTGTTTGTTTGTTTTTCTTTAACAGGCAGCACCCACTTTATTCCTTTTAAAACAATCTCTTTCACCAATCCAGGGCAAGTGCCCAACATAGCCGATAAGACCATTTCCCATACCCATAAACATAAACTACTCTACACTCTTTTTATACTGCCGACACTTTACTCACTTTAAGTCACTTACAGTTATTTATTCACCTATTCAGACACTTTAATTTTAAAACTGTGTAATTTTGAAACTGTGTACATACTGTATATTCTGTGTATTTATTAGTTATTATTTATTATGTCCTTATCTTCAACATCATGCTGCTCTGTTGTATCTTAATTGCCCCTTGGGGATAAATGAAGTCTTTCTGATTCTGATTCTGATAGAACTGTTTCAACATCTATCAAAGAAAAGAAAGCTTAAAATGTTCGCCCATCGCTTGAGCCACTGATGTTATTGGCCCTTTTCATGTGGTAATGTAAGAAATTCACAGACTCTATCTACCATGAACGCTGAGTAAAAATCAGCTCACAGATCCATTGAAATACATGCTGGTTGTCAAAAGGCAACAAGACAGAACTTATTCCTCACAGCTGTGAAAGTCCCGCTCTGTTGCAGAGTAGGAGGGAGTAGGGGCGAGCTGGAATTGATCCATCTGTGATCCGGAAATGGTGCTTCCTGAGAGCCTAACTTCAGGCAAACAAAAGACACGGGTTCATTTGTTTAATTCGTCAACAACAGTGTGAACTGATCTAACTCTTCTAATGTGCACAGTCCAATTCTTGATGTATATTTTTTTGTGTGTGATGTGATCATTTAGACACAACCATTTACCAACCACCAGCTTAACAGGAAGCCTCATAACCACAGACTTTTGACACATTTTTCAAAGATGGAAAAAAACCTGTTTAAAACTTTTTATTTTTTTATTTTTATTTATTAATTTTAGCCACATCTTCACAGTTTAACCGTCTTAACAGCAGCTGTGCTTCCTTTAAAAAAATGTAAACGTTGAAAGTATTGTTCTGTACAGCAGAAAACCTGTTAGCCCTGAGAAACATGTTCTCCTACCACACAGAGTAGTGTGACCAGTAATGAAAGCAATGTCAGAGTTGTGGACTTGTCGTAACGTTTGTAATCAATCAGTTATTATGACAGGCCCAAACTTTACCCTATTCAACAGAACTTCTATTAATTTTTTTGAAGTGTGACCAAAATTGTGTTTTTTATTTTTTAGGTTGCATGGGAAGCAACTCCAACAAAAAAGACAGAATGTAAAAACAAAGGAAAAAATGCAGAGGTTGGTTAATTGTAGTTTTGTAAAGGTCAATTTACATTAAGCAGAGGCAGTCACTGGTTCTGGAATTCCTTTTACAGACGGAGTGCTTGAACTATATCAGGATCCTGCATGAGGTGGGAGATGACAGAATGTATGTGTGTGGAACCAATGCTTTTGATCCCGAGTGCAAATACGTGGTGAGATAAATTCCCTAACTGATTGAATAGATGGTTTTTGTGGCTTTTCATCAGCTTCCCAATAAGTGCAGAATAATTCCAAAGATAAAATGGTGTTTGCCGGTGCAGTCCTTTTCAGGTGATGCATTGACTTTTGAGAAGAAGGTGGAGGATGGCAAAGGGAAGTGTCCATTTGATCCTTTCCAGAGATACGCTTCAATCATGGCAGGTAGGTAGAAATTAGCCAACTACACTAAGAAACCTGTTGAAAAGATTAGCAGAGCAAACATATTTTCTTTTGCTCTCTGGTCTCGTTAGGTGATGATCTTTACTCAGCCACGTCAATGAACTTCCTCGGCTCTGAACCCGCCCTAATGCGCTCGTCTGGTAACATACGGACTGATTTTAAAAGCTCCTGGCTTAATGGTAAGATATAAAAAATTTTTTTTAACCTATTAGTTGGGTCAAAGTTAAAGTTTTCTTTTCTTCTTGTGCCAGAGCCCACCTTTGTTTCCATGGCTCAGATGCCAGAGGGCAAGGAAAGTGAAAGCGGAGATGACGACAAAGTTTACCTGTTCTTTAGTGAGACCGCTGTGGAGTGCGACTGCTACAACAAACTGGTGGTGTCCCGCGTGGCCCGCGTCTGCAAGGTGATAAAAGGTTTTACATTGCATGCGCTTCCAAT